AATCACCAAATTTTCTGTTTAAGCTAAGTCATAAATGACAGGGATAGAAACCTGTAAAAGATCATGAAAGTATATATGTTAGACTTGGGATATTCACTAAGTTGTAACTGTTAATACCTTGTCAAAAACATAGAGAATTTATTTACAACTTTTAGATCCTAAAACAATCACCGCATATAACTTTGTCTTAATAATCATTTTCAACCTTATAATCTGATCTTAATTGGTACTTTTAATCTTTTATAGAATCAAACCCAATTAGTTTTATACTTTGACTATACACTATGTCACATGATTAGCTTCAAATTTTGGTTATCAATACAATTTCCTATATGATTTATCCATGCATAACCTTCAATAATTGTTCTTACTTCTTACAACCAAAACTGCAATAACACAACGTACAAGCAAAATGTGAAAAAAATGGAAAGGTATTCATTTAAACATCATCTAAGAAATAAAAGCAAGTTGTATTGAGCATATGTTTCTCTATGAGAAAAATATAGTTTTAAAATTTTCCTGAACCGGTACATACAACATGGTATTTATTGCTCTTGGCATGAACCAAAGGTTACCACCTACTAACATGCTCATCGCCTCAACCAAACTCACCAGCAGTCTTTTGCCCATTACAGGCCTGCATCAGTGGTGAGCCCATATCTCGGTCCCAAGCATTAAGAGACCCATTGGGTTCTCTTTCGAGGCTTTAAAAGGTTGTTTTAGGCTTTTAGCTCTCTTCACTCTCTCTCTCTTCCAAACTCAAATATTTTAAGAAAAGGCTCAATTTCTCAAGGTTCAATTTGAAGATCCAATTCGATTTTTCTCCCAGATTAGGTAAATCCAAACCTAATTAATTAACGCATTGGATTTTCAGTCTTATAATAGTGACTTTTATCTTATTATTGACTAGGTTCGAAAGGCTTAGACTATTAAGATCTCCCATGTCCATCTCATTTTATCACTGAGGCTATTGAGAAAGATCGAGTGATAAGGATCATGGGAGCCTCAGGATGAGTAGGGTCTGATGTTAAGAGGTGGTCAAACTTCAAGCAGTCAATTTATGGGTCTTGGCAGATCACAGAAGAGTCAACCATCAGGTCATTGTAATAAGGGAAAGGGTCATGCTTGCAACAAATAGGTAGATCGTTATAAATGATTGACAAACAATGTCTAGTTGGATGACAAAATACCTTCTCCTTTACAGTTCACACTTGTTCATTTGAAGATGCAAATCACTGAGAATGAGGATCCACATTGTTCATTTACAACCAAAACAATAAAGAAAAGATAAAGGATGTTGATTCATACTAAGAGATGTGACATAACCTACATGATATCAAATTAGGCAACAGTTCCTTGTATTATCAAATTTCCTAATACCCTGTATCACAATTGCATGCCGATAGTTGGATATTGTTTTTCTTAGTCAAATGCACCATATGGTATGCAACATTAAAGTGAAGAGAGTGGCAAATTTATTAGACTAGATCCTACAGAGCCATACTTGTCACAATCCTACATTCCTGAAATGCTTCCTACCACTCACAATTGGTCTGCAAAGTTCAATTTTGTGGGATAAGGATGTTGAGATGAACACAAAAGGTTCCTAGAAAGGATACAGCAACCGCATTTGAGAATGTTTACGCTCATCTCAATCAGAAATAAAATAACAAAACTATTTAAGGTACTCTAGATGTGTTGAAAGGATTTTCATAGATGCATCAATTACTTAAGCTGATCAGATTCAAATTAGTGGTGCAAGAGGCAAAGGAAAAGAAGATATTATCACAAATGATAGAATAGCATTTGATGGGTTTTTGGTTTGGCTGTCAATTAGCCCTATATCATGGATTGTCATATCATGAGCTACCACCTGTGACAAGTAGATACATGTTGGTCTGACCAAATACTGGGACAGACTTTCATGGGCATCAACAAAACTGCATTAAACCTGACTAATTTTAAACTACTATGACTAACAACATATTAAAAATTTTGGCCAATGCCCAATGAAAGACCTATAAAAGAAAACTCTCTCTATCTCTATTAATCCCTATCTATCTCAATCAATCTTCCACTTGGGTCATGCCACCATCAACCCTTAAACTTGCCTCGCATACCGTTGACTGGTTAGTTCCACCTGATTGTGAGCAAGGAAAAAAAGGATCCAATCACAGACCATATGTTTTTTCTTTATTTTTTCCCTTCTACTTCTTTTTCTTCCCTTCCTTTCCCAACTGCTATTGGTAGATCTGCTACAAGATCCTGTACAAGAAAGGCTATTCTTGCCCTCAATAGAGCTCAATGGCAGAAAGGAACCAAATACCTACCCAATCTGTATATTGTGTATAAATAAACGAATTTTATATAACTGAATATTGATGCATGCCAACAAGAAAATGCACAATTATTGTTTACATTCAAGATATCATCTAACAGACAGCTACAAGCAAGTTAGCATCATTGAACAGTTATTGTTGGCATGCATGTGTTTTGGTACCTGAAAGCCCCAAAAAAGAGAGTATATATATCTCTTCACCGCACTAGACTTCGTGGTCAGCAAAACAGTTTTCTGGTATATCCCATAATCAAAATCTCCATTAGTGTTAAAGCAAGCTGAAGAATTATTATCATGAACCCATTGTTGTCTGGCATCATTTTGAATAGCATGACCACGTCCACAATCAATTAATGTGCTGCAATTAAAATTATTTGGTGTTGCAGAGCAGGTATCTTGTAGACATTGGTTCACTCTCTGATAAGAAAAATATATGGGAAATAACATAGCAATTGCATTCAAATAATGGTTAATATTTATAACAAGGAATTCAGGACAGATATCTTAAAAGCCATAGCATATATGGCAGAAGCTCTTACAATTATAAAATATTGAATAGAAAATAAAGAAAATAACCAATAGTTGTGAGAAACATATGGAAATAACTAAAGCAAACTGTATTACATTTTTCTACACTATCTTGTCTACATAGATGCCAAGACCAAAACATATTGCCACATCTTACCCGAAAGGGCACTAAGGCTGTGAATAATGACCCTTCACCGACCCTGTATTGGTGGTAGCCTCGTGCAATAGGCTACCTATTTAAGCGTGATAAAAGGTGCAAGGAAGTGTTGCATAGAAATTTCTTTTTATGTGGAATCTCTAACTTCTCATTATGCAAGCAAACCTTGTAAGTTTTATCAAGGATTAGTTAAGTATGATTAACATGGACAACGAGACTGTTAAAGAAAAACAAAAACTAAATAGATACATGAAGAACATGTTGATGCCTTCAGAAAACCAGCTTGCAGAGCTTATTTACAGTTAAGAAATGGTAAGCCATCAATTAAGTAATACAAATCATCATAACATACAAAGGTGGTAAAGCTATCCTGACAAATTGCCTTCCCATGGCATTTGTATGAACAGTCCAATGGGTACTAGGACATAAATACGGTTGGCCTGGCCATGCCAACATATCAAGATATGTGAAATGGCAGGGTCAGTATTCTGAATAGAAAGACTAGATTGAAAATATTGATACATTAGATATCTATAATCTAATTCAAATTACTTTATGTGAACAAATAAATGCCTTCCATTCAAGGAGCTCCATCTTTTCTCAACTGAACATTTGCCTCCTAAATAAATGATCCCAATGAACCAAAAGTTCTTATGATAATCAATTCATGAAACAAGGGTGACAAAAGTACAGTATGAGTCTTAAGACAGTCAGAATGATACATTTAATTCATAAGCAATTCACCTAAATAAGGCAAGAAAAGTACAATATGAGTGTTGAAAGAAGATGCTGACCAGAGGCAACACCTCTGTCATGGTTTAACTTTAAAATACCACTTGGACTAGTACATGGAACGATAAGAAGATCCAATGATATCATCGTAAGGACCAAGACGGGCCTTATGCTGGGTGTGTCAGCATACCGCCTGGTGGTTAGTCCATCTTATTTGAAGTTTAAGTACTATGCCTGAAATTCTAAACCGACATGCTTGAAAAACCATTCACTGGGTCACAAGCAAAGGCACAGAGAAAATCTTTCACTCATCTTTCACTTTGACTCCTCTCTCTTTCACTCTCTTTCTCTCCAATTCAGCAATCCAACTGGGCTACATCCACCTTGATTACAGTTGTCTTTTACTCTGATCCATCCACATTTAAGATATGATTATCATTAGAAGTTGCTATATACTATTTCAAAATTCAGTCAGCAACTTAACATTAAGATTTAACAAAGACATTAATCAAGCACAGGTTCACATATATATGGTCTAAAGACTCTAAACTACATGTATCTGAGTCCCATCTGCATGAGTTTGGCCTAGATCTTTGCAAATATAGATTAGTTTCTTACAAATCTATCCTAAATCTAGGAGGATGTGTGATGGATCCACACAAATCTAGGCTTGATCAACTTGAATTTAGGCAGAATATACATAGATATATCAGCATCGGATGACAAGGCATGGATATCATAGACAAAGCTTTTTATGATTGAATATATATATATATATATATATATATATATATATATATATATATATGTAATATTTGAATATATGCCACATGAATGAAGTTGTGTGCTAACTCTAAAGCTTTTATTATTGAATGTTATGGCTAAATAAAACTTTTATTTATGTTTTTCATTGTATAATTGATTATAGGTCATGAAAATATCAAAGAAACAGAATTTTGAGAGAACTTAAATTGCAACCATCATTGACAACCATCATTGGGAAAGATGTCCAATGGGAAGTCGGATTGGATCCATCACACCCAATAAATAGCAACTATTATTAACAACCTGTCCAACGGACTGCTCCAATGTTGGGATGAATGCAGGTAAAGAATGTACCAGATTATAGCTTAAGAATGTAGCAACCATTTGTGTAGGAGGAGTGTTATGAGAACAAAAAAGAAACATAGCTTGCTCATGGACAAAGTACTTAAGATTCAGAACTCACAACTATAATCCAAATAAAGCTATAATATCGCTCATAGAATTATTCTGAGGACATAATAGAAGACAAATATGTTAATGCGAAAGTTCTAGATTTTAATAAAATCTTGGATTCCAGAAGCTTAGCTCAAACATCACCCTCTAGCAATAGTTATAAAGAACTAAGAAACTCTTAGGATATTTGGCAAACACTTTTGTCATTTGCCATGTCCAGTGAATCTCAACTTTAAACCTGCTAATTCATTAGTAAAAGCAGGTAAAGAGTGAAAAGAGAGCAAGGCAAATATTAAAGGCTAGGGGCTAAATAGCATCCGGATTATGTCATACTAAGTTTAGCAGATGTGCACCTTAAATAGACTGCGCTGACCATATAAATAGGAGTTCTTGGGCAATAGAATCATAAACTAAAAAAAATGAAACTCAAGACAGCTTTGGAAAAGGCATATAACTAAGGATATATCCATCTGATGGACAAATATGTCAGAAACACCAGTCTAACCTGTAAGCCAAACAGATACCAACATGAACCCACGACATGTCCAGCCAATGCAAACATAAGAAGATTAATTACGAAGTTCGCCCATGCTGACTCAAAGATGAAACCACTTGCTGACTGCCCACCAAGAAGTGGTAGAAATCTGATAATTCTTGGGATATACTGAAGAAGGACAGTTACACGTAAAAGATTTTTGGCATAATTTGCTTCTGATGATCCCACATAATTTGGTATTACTGCTAATATCATTACCTATACCACATCAAAAGAAAGACATCAAATAAAACCCATAATAAAGTCCAACTGTCCATAAAGTACTACAAGAACAAAGCCATTTTTCTGCATAAAATTTATAAATAAAAGTTTGATGAAAGCAAACCAGGATGGCTACTTGTTAGCTGTAGTTCATGCATGAACGACATTTGCAAGAACCAGGAAGCATTTTGATATTAATGTATTTATACAACTGGACTACCCAGAAAAAGCAGCTGAATTGATTTCACACAAAGCCATGATATGAACATTATTCTAAGATCTAAAGGCCAATATCAATAAGTTCAGACTGACTGCTTGAATACTTTCCAAAGAGAACCATACTTGTACCCTTGTTTGTGGAAACAATCAAGTCTAAACCAACAGAATAGAGGAAGAATAGACTTCCATCCTTGGATGAATTCAGAAAATCCAGACAACCCTTCCTATCTTGAAGTCCCCTTCACTTCCAAACAGGAAAAGTATAGCATTTAGCAAGCCAGAGAATAGCAGCTCAAACCAAAGGATCTATTTTAATGATCTCCGAAAATTCTTGCTTATATACAACTATAGTTTCATTCCATATGTTTTTCTTAGATTACCTTATTCCAAAATTTTAGGTTTTTGTACAATCTCTTTGGCTCTAATAAGACACCCAAAGTTCTTAATTCTGGTCCTAACTAATGAAACAGTCGAACACATAGCACAAAACAAAGAGCACCATCCTAACCAAAAATTGATACCTTCATTGTGGCACCGATTTTGGTAATCTATCAAACTGATACAATACCAATATACTGGGTGGTATGTTGATATGTATTATTCAAGATCATAAATAAAATAATAAAAAATGAGAATGAATGGCTTGTACATATATTGAGTTATATGTTTCAGTGTAACATAGTAAGAATAAAAGACTTGGTATGACCAATGTTGTGGCATGAGAACATGCCTACAGGCAACCCACATGGAAGAGTTCATATCACTGTTGTCAAAAGGTGCTCGAGTGCTTGCCTAGGCACTCAGGTGACGAGATGAGTCTCGAGCATCTCAAAGGGCTTGTACAAGACACCTTAGACTGGGAGCCTCAAATGGGGAACTAGGCATCCCAATGAACCTAATGATAGCCCCAGCGATTGGATTTGTCTAGTATGACTTACACTCAAACATCCACCGACGAAATTAAGTCCAGCCCAATCCAATGCCCCACCTGAATGATCAAAACTGACTTAACCCACATTTAGCCTGAAACCCCTCTTAGCATGCCATTAGGCTCAACGCACTCACAAACCCAATGCCCTTGCTTTGCGCTTGAGCCCAACAAACCCCACTCACCTCACTTAACAGCCCAGTGTGCAGTCAGATTCAACGCACCCGCAAACCCAATGTTTTGGCTATGTGCTCAAACCTGGAGAACCAACCTGGTTTGGTTAATCCCACCAGGCAAATCTACTACTTTATGCAAATCCCAATGCACTGCTCAGTTTGTCCCAATGAGTGACCAATACATCCAATATGTCATCAAACACAATCAAGAACCTCTTTCCTTCCGTCTTTCAACTAAAGCAATCTAAAAAGTATATTGCAATTCAGATAATTTGTTAGTTGCCAGACATTCTACAGACCAGACATACACTTGCAGAACTTAAGGAATTAATCAAGAACGATAAAGAAATGAAAATAGTCCATACCTGAGGAAGCGGCAACACAACAAACAAATCCAATAAAAAGTATCCACGAAGATAATGAAGAACAATTTTTTTTGGCTGATCAACTAGATCCCCAGCGCCAACCACTCTAGATTCAGGAGCAACATATGCAAGCCTAAACTGTGCAGATAAATCAATAGAATAGGTAAAAGAAGTGATTGAATTTGTGACAAAAATTGAAGTTGCGTTATAATTAAAAAGGACTCCATTTACAGAAAACAAATAAATCAAGCAATATTGCTCAATTAACCAATGGCATTGATTACAACACTACCACTGACAAATAAGAAAACTGTAAACTCCTGGATATGTAAATTTTGAGTTGTCAAGTGCTGATTCTGCAATGCCCAAAAAACATCATGCTTTTTTTTTTTGAAAAAACAAACTTGCAAATCACATCATCTGACAGCTTAACCAACCAAAGAAAATCCATAATCATATACATTTAATTCGTCAAATGCTTCAAAATGTTTGATTTTTACAGACAAATAGTGCACTCATAATTCACTATTTGTGAGAGTATTCCCTGTTACAAAAGAGTCATAAGATAATGTGAGAATTATGACCTGAGACAGTTCTAGGCAAAATCATGATAACGTTTTTTGAAAAATCATGATAACTTAAAAGGAAAGTCTAGTACTGAAAGATAACCTCACTGGAAAACAACTCAACACAGACAGCTGAAAGAAGTTGCTCTGAGCAGTACATTTAAACAGCAAACAAGAGTGCCAGTGTGCTGATATTTATATAATTGGCAGGCGTTGGCATTATAAGAAGCTAAAAGGAGTGCAATAGTTAGGTATTCACCCAGCCAGTGGAACTCAATTATCTGATGGAAAGTTTTACCAATTAGTATTAAGTAGCTGATCATTGATGGATTATATTTAAAAGTTGCTCTATTTTTCCTCATCTTTTTTCAACTTCACCAATCACCACAACATAATACGTACAGTTAACAGTGCAACCAAACGTTTCCTAGCTGAAACATGTACCTAAAGCTTTACCTGAAGTATGATGTGCAGAAGGTAAATGAAATCAGTCAGACTTCGCACGACTGCAATTGCTGTTGCCAAGGACCAGTTAAAAACTATACACTTGTTGTTCTGCATTAACGAAAAAACATATATAGTGCAACTTTCACAAAAATAAGGGGCAACATCCAATGAATATGTACATAATAGAGGACATGTAACCAAATACAAGAAGCTTTGTAGTCAATAAGTTTCAAAAAGAGAAGGAAGTTAAAAAGTTGGGATTTAGTATCTGTTGTTCTGAGCTCGCATGAAATAAGATAACCACAAAATGAGTTCTTTTACTGAATGGAAGAGAACAATTCTAAGAGTTCTCCAAAAAGAATAAATAGTGACATAAGAAACAACATGGTTTATCACAAGAAAATAAACAGCATCATCAAAGCACTAACTTATAAGAAAACTTCACAGGTAAATTGAACAGTATCATTATGATCTTGTACAACAAAGAATAAGCCACTCCAACAACTCAGATTGATTACATAGTTACCTCATGGTGTGCAAAATTAGAGTATACCTCAACGTTTTGCATGCTAGCACTCGGTACTCACTACTATGTCTCAATATGAAAAAGATCTGTTGCCCGTGCATCAATTAACACACTAAAAATAATTTGATTTTGTTCACTGACATACCCAAGCATGCCACTTTTTGTTCAAAGTTCAAACCCACAATTAACATGAAACCAAATCTTCTTTTCTATTCATTTAAATAACTTGCTTCTGTCAATTAATGTCCATCTTGCAATTCCATCAAGTTTCTTATATAGTAGACGGAATTTAGTTTCTCATCCTTGAGTAACCCTACAAAAATAAACAACATAACCCTTTCTAGAAGTCCCCATTAGAGAATACATCTGGTGCTCATCATTCAAGACCTTAATCAGTTTCGCTTATTGTTATATGAGTTTAGTTCCTTAGTAGAGCCATTACTTGTTCAATCTTAGGATATTTTACCTAGATTAAAGGGCCAAATATCCTTTGGCATTACGAACTTAGTAGTCTAGATTGAAAAGAAACATATAAAACACACAATCAACTGCCATGGGCTTTATTACCAAACCAACAATCCAAACTCAGAAAATGCAGGTAATACATGTATTGCCAATGACGTATTGAGGACACGGTCCACGGTGCATCATCTAGAATGATCTTTCCAAATTGTAATTGATTACAATTGTTCTTGATTTTCTCAAATTCAACATTTTCAGACATTCTTTTTAACATCCATATAGAACTGTACACCCAAACAAGGTGATAAAGGTTTCACAGAAATTGAATCCGAATAACTAAAAGATGATGCAGTTTAGTTTCTAGAGTTAATTATCATTATTATATAGACAGCAAAACTTTGTCCCATGGACTTATCCAACATTTCCGCTTATTAGTTTTATGAGAATTAATTATAATTACGAAACTCGAAAACCATTAATTTATGATACCATAAACTAATCAAAAAACTAGAATAGCAATATCTTTTGCATTTAAATGTGACCTGGTATGACAACAAAAATTATCATGATACAGATTAAAATAGGTGATAACATACCTTCTGAACAGACAAAAGGAAGAAAAACAATGGATCGATGAAAATTGCAATTAAGCAAGATATGACAAAAAATTTGTTCCACTGTTGAACAACTTTTGTATGAGGATTCATGATTGGGAAATATGAATTGAGACCAGATATCCATTTCTTAACCCATCTATCATCATCCCCATAGAGAATGTTATGAAGCTGTAAGCCACAGAAATCATAAAAATTATGTCAGTTCAATATTTATGACTCCATTATATAGACTAAATTATCTAATGTAATATCATCAAAAATAATCCCAAAAAACATAGTACAAAAACAGCACTAGGGGTTATTGGAGCAACAACAAACTTAATACTGGCAACGACAAATCTTTACAGCAAACAGGAAGCTGCCGATTCATACTAGAAAAATTGTTTGCAATTATTTTCCACCACGTATTTGTGATAATTGAAGAATTAAGTACCATAGAAGAAGGGTACAGATCAAAAGATACTTGTTAATGATGTGGAAGATGGAGAAGCCATTATTATAATTTATTTGATGAATATACAACTTAATTTTAGAGATAAACAATGGTGAAAGGTTTAGTTATCATAGATCTATTCATAAAATTAAAGCAAATAAAAATATTTAAGAAAAAATGAAAATAAGTAAGAGTGTGGGACCTAATAGCACTAGTTCAGAAGAGTGTAGGATATACAGGATGATTCAGTTGACTAATTTATTTAACAAGTTGTAAGGTTAAGAAAGACTCTAATGAATGCATGAGAAGCTTTTCAGTATCAATTTATAAGAATAAGAAAACTATCCAAGGATATTCAAGTTATAGCGAAAACAAGAAATGAATTATACCATGAAACTTTCGGAAAGGATGATCAGAGGTACAATAAGATGTGAAATGAAAATATCCAAAAATCATTTTGGTTTTATGCACTGAAGATCAACCATAGAGGCTATTTACTTATTTAGGCAGTCGATGGAAAGGTATAGAGAGAAGAAAAGACTTGCATATGTTTTTATTGTTAAAAAAAAGTCTTATCTTAGAGTCTTGAAATATCTATATGATCGACTTTAGAAAAGAAATGTATTTTCACTAATTATATTGATATATAATATACGTATGACTATAAGCAGCTATTATGTAATAATATTTATATAGTAAACTTGCAACTGCACAGACAAATTTGAACATCATAATGACCTATATCAGACAGGAGAACAAAGGTTACTAGAACATGTGTGCAAGAGCAAAAAGTGTACCTTCTTTTCCAGAGAAACTGAACTTTTTTGGTGACTTCTTTTGGCTTTATAAACTGCAGGGCATTCAGTGCAGTCAGGGTTATTGCATAAACCCAAAGGTCCAGACATCAGCAGATGTTCATTTCTCGTCACATAGTTAGTATCTGGAAAGGCCCCTCCACCCAATACTTCTGGCATAACAGCTTGGGATCTGTTGTGCAGTTTGCCATGTCCAGTCCAATGATTTTCTGGTTTTCTGTTCCTACTTAAAGGGCCAACTGCAACTCCATACTCTGTTGTCCTCTGGGTACGCAGAGGACCAGTATGAAACACCAAAGAATCTTCACCATCATAAGATGCATTTGGTGGCACAGACATTGATGCACTCCTAGCAGTAAATCTTCGCATCTCTATATTGCCTGATAGCATTGGAACATAATCTTTCTCATGTTCAGCCATTTTTTATGACTAAACCTGAATCAAAAACAACATTTTAGTAAAATAAATTAAACCTGAAACAAAAACGACCTTCTAGTAAAAGAGTTCATTTTTAGAAATATTTTGTCCAAGATTTTTTTCTATGAATCAATTTTCTCTTCTTTCCAGATAGTCACCACCCACCCACCACAAGGGCTTAGTGCAAAAGAAAAAAAAAAAAACACTATACTAATAGAAAGCTCCTGATAAACTATAAGCCATTCCAAATTGTCGAGTAGAATACATGCGTTAAATATAGCAAGTAACCTCTTATAAAACTAGATTAATACATTGTCCAGTAGACAACATGGAAACATCAGAGTTAAAGTTGCTTTATGTGCTTGACCAAGATTCATCTCTACATGTGTTCTTATGTTACCAAGTCAATTAATTTCTGGAAGATCTATATTGATATACGTTCAACAGCATCAAGAAGAAGAAATCAGTTAATTTCTCCATTGCCGCTGCGATGCTGATGCTACCACTGTTGCTGCTTCCCAAGTACGCTACCGCTACTCCTCCTCCTCCTCCTCTTCTTCCTTCTTCTTCTTCCTCCACCGCTTCCTCTTCCTCCTTCTTCCTTCCCCCGTCCTCCTTTGTTCCTCCACCGTCCCCTCCTCTTCACCCTTTTTTTCTTCCTCGTCGAAACATTGGTACACACCGGCATACCATGTCAGTATACTGGTACATACCGGTCCAACAGATTGTTGAAACGGGTTCAATACCTGAAAAGGCAATCCTTACATTGAACCACACATGACACTAGATTCGTAGAAGTCTCATGCAACAAAACCACCCCTTTTTATCATTTTTCTATATTTATTTCATTAGATTTTGAGCTTACAGACTAGATTTCAGTTATTGTGATTCAAACATCAATATATGTGAAAGAAGTATTAGCACATATGGGAAAGAATTAACTAAGCTAATGGTACTCCAATATTTGTTTCTTGTGAAATAATCAAATGGCTATAAGACAACAAACAAATTGTTTCCTAACGTTTAAGTAGCATTAAGTTTGATTTCTAAGTAATGAGTTCCATAATCCATGTGTTATCTTCAAGTGTGAAACGTTTGTTATATATGCTATATCAAATGATATTATCACAATAGAAGAATACATAGATGACTTGTAATATTTCTTTCTTTTTCATTTAAGGTTTGCATCATAGTGTTTCTTCCTTTTTTTTCTTTATGAAGTAGAGTTCAAGCATTTGAACTCAACAGCAATGATCATACCACCTAGGTTACCTAGTAATATTGTATTAATTTCATAGATAAAGCAAAAGAGTATGCAAAATTATCATGTAAAATGATGCCATGGAGAGTAAAAATATTTGAAGATTGATTTACATTGTTAATTTATTCACATTCTTAAGTATTTTGTTAGCAATCTTCCAATCTCTTTAAAACTTAAAACATCTGGAACACCAATATAACTAGAAACAATGCAACTAAAACTCATAGGTAGGGCAAATTCTATATCAAAAAATTAATATATACAAGGTAAAATCATATTTGACCATAGATTTTGGAGTTTTTTCTTTGGTAACACCAATTAGCTACAACTTTTTAGAGTACAGGCATTCTTTCTTACAAGCATACACTATGTAGATTGAAGCAAGAGATTCTTGAGAATTGAAACCTAATTCCTCTCTTAAGGAATGAGTGTAGTAACACTATTTTTTGCTAGGTGCAGGTATTTTCCTAACCAGATATTTTATACTGCGAAGCTACTGCCATTGTGGAGGGACCTAGGAGGGCATCAAACAAGGGAGTGCAAAGGATTTTGGTGGAATCTGATTCCAAGTGCTTAATTGACATTATTAATGGTCAATGTGCCCCTCGCTGGTTAATTCTTGAAATAATTAGGAGTATTTTGAGCTTGCTGAGGAATTTTTACTGATTTATCTATTGTTTGTACCTTTAGAGAAGGGAACAAGGAAACTAACTTGGCCAGAGTTAGCAAGTTTGAAGTTGTTTGGCAAAGGACTGTTCCCTCTTCTCTTATGTAATGTTGAGCGACACTCCAGGACATGGTTATTTTTGTTCTATTAAGTATTAACTAACATATAATCTTTTTTTCTTTTTGGGGACTTAGTTCTTAAGAACATGGTAATCATATTTATGTAAAAGTGCAAGTCAACATCTAAGTATGGAAGCAACAGACTAATCTTAGAACCTTAACCATTCTTAGTAGCAGTAGAGAGTTTAGGTGATCGTTCGTTGATGAAAGTTTTTGTCTTCCAGCAAGAACAGACTAATCTGAGAACCTTAAACATTCTTAGTGCCAGTAGAGGGTTTAGGTGATCATTCATTGATGAAGGCTTTTGTCTTCCAGCAAGATCATGTGCAAGTCAACATCTAAGTATGAACGTAACAGACTAATCTTAGAACCTTAAACATTCTTAGTACCAGTAGAGAGTTTAGGTGATCATTCGTTCATGAATGTTTTTGTCTTCCAGCAAGAACATGTGATTTTGTTGCTAGTCTCACTTGTATTCTATTTCAAAACAAACTGGAACGGGTAAAAAAAAACAAAGAACAAACAACTTAAGATGAAATTGGTCTATAGCCAGAATAACCCAGAAACATACGATTTGACTGTTTCATAATTCATTCTAAAGTAAAAGAAAAGATGCATATCAGCCAGCAAGGCAGTGGAAAAGCAAATAAACTCAGACAAGGTTTCGATCGAGAAGACGTCCTCAACACAAGTGAGACGCTTAACCGACAATAGCGTCGATACGGCTATTCAAAAGGAAGGGCAAAAAGTAATGAATCAAAACATTCAGTTTGCACCAATACTCAAATGTTTTCGCATGAGAACAAAGAAATTCACAGAAGTTTTAAGTATACGTGCTAAGTACTTTAGGTTTTAGTTCAGGTGTACAAGACAAAATATTCGAGCAAATCTCTTGATTCAAAGAAAATCCTGTCAAAATATTGAGGAAACGGTTGAAAAACCACTGCCCGAAAGAGGGCCATCATCCTGTCTATCCCAAGAAGCAGCAACACAATTTGAGCGAAAAACTGCTTCCAAATCCTACCTTTTGCCAAGGAAACAACTCCCTCACCCAAAACCTCAACCGAAGAAGCAGCGGAGCAACAACAAAAGATCCGAAATTATTGCGGGATTCATGCGACGAACATCACAACAACCGAGCAGCAGCAGAGATTGACCGGCGCGCTCCAGCCTCCGATCGGCTCCCTCGCATCAAGGAAACAGCGAAACCTGGGGGCGTTTTCCCACACCAGTGGCAAGAGGCACCATCTTCGACGCGCCGGATGTGGGACGGAAGGTTTCACCGCGGATGAGGAAGAGGGAGAGTGAAAAGGCCGAGTCAGGAGGAAGCATCGCGTGTTTCTTCGTGGTAACGGAGGAAAATATAAAGAATCTCTCCAAATTAAATGATCGAAAGGGCTATCACTGGCGCTTTGGCTGTATCGATGGACGGCCCTTCGTCGTCGTCTCTGCCGTCTTTATTGAAGTCTCTCGCCGGTGGACTTGACTCGGGGGAGTAGGAAAAAGAAATCAGAATAAATAAATAAAAATAAAAGGAAACGACGAAGACGAGGCCCACGCCGATGGGCCCCGCTCACATTCAAGTACGCGTCAGATGGAACCGGTCTGGAATACTTGCGACCACGTGCTCCCCCCACACCCCCCCCGAAACGCTTCAGTCGCAAGCGAACCGACGTCCGTTATTTTTTGTTATCTGGTCGTTGACCTCGTGGATCCTAAGTCAATAAATATGGACGGTTGATTGCTTCAAATAGGGGTGCCATCAGAGCCGCAGGATGTCGAGACCTAAAAGTGAGATCGCAATCCATCTAATATATTTTAAATATTTATCTAATTATGATATATTATAAAATTTTAATATATTTTATATCTTAAATACTAAATTTACTTATTAAATGATAGAGATTCGAAATCTCATCCGATATATTTTTTTATTATTTATTATTTATTTAAAAAATTATATAATCAACAAGATATGCACTATTTCATTAATCGACGGTGAATGACTTAATGGCAGTTCTTACGATTTCATTAATTGTCGATCTTGGAGATAGTTTTGACGTTAGATCAATGAAGTTTCTGTTTCTGTTGTTGTTCTATGGCAGGACAAATTGCTCGTAGTGCCGTCGTCTATCTTCTTTTCCTTTGTTTTTTTGGTTGTCTCTGAGAGCACGCAATCCCATCATCATTAATTAATATAAGATCGTCCTAAACTATTACTTAGTCAATTTTGAAGTCACAAAACATCATTATCGTTTACTTGACTCGGTCTTAGCAAGAAAATCCTATAAAATCTGTAACTAATAATTATGGGATCATTTAAATTAAACAGTTGATGAATAACTAAAAATATATTAATATTTTGTTAGGATTGATGTATATATTAATATATATATATGTATATAAAGTTAATATAATATTTTTAAATGTATAATTTGAAAGTCAGAGATAAAAGTAGAGAGGGCCAGAGATCATCAAGAGTCTAAAAGTTTATAAATTTTAATATTCAATAATAGTCATGAGTTTTGAAGATTCTCTATTTTCCTTAATACACTATATATATATATATATATATATATATATATATATATATATTTACATTCATTGCCTTTCCAAGAGATATCCTAACCCAAATCAAATATATATTATATTATATTTATTCTTTTGGTACCAAAGATTTCTTCTCCCATATAAAACATGCACATAATTACATTATCCATTTACACGACCTGTGATAAAACATTTCTCTGCAATTAAGTTCTGAGTCCTTCCATAATAAATTAAATATAATTGTATCCACAAGTCCTGAGTCTTTCCCATATCGATACTTCCGAATAAAGCATACCTCGTACTCTTTTATCTGTGGCTAATGTCTGCTTTGCGATGTCTTCTATTACCATATCTTTGTCCCTAATTCTTCAAAGCTCTCTTTGCCTTAAGAGATTTCTCACTCATAGATTCTAGATTGTGTTTCAAACAAGATTATGTCACCAAATCCATAAAGAACTTGAACACCTAACAAAATAACAACAACTACTTATCTTACATCCGTGAAAGTTCATCATGTTCCTCAGCCATAAGCATCAGCCATCGCATTCACGTGACTCAGGTTATTACAGTTCCTCTGCAATTTGGATAACGAAAGGTCTTCCGCAAGAATGAGAAAAAGAGAAGCACAAAAAGCAAAAGGTAAAGCAAAACGTACCGACCAATCTATACTATCAGCATCCTCGAGTTCATGGGCGTGTGTTTAAGGATCCGTGAGTATAAGAACCAAGCAAACCGAGATGACAACCAGCAGCAGAGCACAAACCAAGCAAGCGCACTTCTTGTTCCTCTTCCTCATTGCATTGGCAGAGACGAGGCGGTCGGTTCCCCCACTGATGTAGTCCTTCGCCCGGGCCACATTCTCCTCGATGTCGTTCAGTTGATCCTCCTGCCCTTCCATCATGACCGCCATGTCGAGGAAGACCTGATGCAGCTGCATCAAGCTCCTCTGTATGTCGCTCACCGCCTTCTGCCTCTCCAATACCTCCAAGTCCACTTCGCCCCTGTTGTCCAGGAGCCCGACTTGGCTAGCCCCTGAGAGCATCTTGTCGATCGTCTCCTCGGTCGCGGCCTCGCCCGTGGCGTTGAGGTACCTCCGCTTCAGGCCCTCTCTGTGATCGGAAACTATGCGCTCCCGCAACAGCTGAAACCCATTCATCGTCTCCCTAAGCTTGGTCCGCAAGCCATTGGTCACCGACACCCGGGTCCGGTCCACGGGACTGCCCTCGGTGAAGCACGCCGCCACACCACGGTTGGCGGCGTTGGAGCGGTCGAGGGACTCCAGCCGGACCTTGATGGCCTTGGCCTTGCGGAGGACGGCCACCACGTCCGCGTCCATGCGATCCCGCAGGCCGCGGAGGAGTTTGGCGCTGTGGGCGGACTTGGACTCCTCGTTCAGGAAGCGGAGATCGACGAGGAGGCTGGAGACGTCGTCCATCTCGGACTGGATCCCGCCGATCTCGCTGAAGAAGCGAGCAAGGTTCTCTTCTTCCATGCGGGTGAGACCGCCGGCCGCCGCCTCGACTTTCGGTGGGTCATCCGCCCCGGCCTCGAGATCCTTCAGCGCCTGCTTCTTGAGTTCCACGTAACTCATGAAAGACTTGGTCATAAGGTCGTTCATCTTCGGAGCAGCTCCTCGTCGCCGACCTGCAAGAAACCCATCGTAAACCATCGAAACCGAAGATAAAACAATAAAAATTCAAGAAAAAAATTGGAAGGAAGAGAACAAATTTTAATTTTGCTACACGGATCAAAGCGTTGGTCGATCGATCACTAAAGAACCCGAACTCAACCCCGATGGTCCTTCAAGAAATGAAGCAAAACGATTCAAGAACACACGGAGCAACGAAAGTGAATCTTCCGACTGGGTCGAAATCAAGGAGAACAACAGATAAAGATGCATCAATACCCACAGAACGGAAGCAAAAGAAGGCTTTTCATAAAGGACCCCAAGAGGCGATCTCTTCCACGAGAATTCGCTTCCTCGGGCGAAAGCTGCTTCGAGAACTGAAGCAAAGGGGTTCAAGAACACACCGCCCGATCGAATCAAACATCAGAGAGGATCGCAATTAAAGAAAACAACAAAACGAAATTGCGAAGAACCACCGAACGGAATCAGTCACCCTAAGGGAGATGAACAAAGCCTCGTCCGCCAAGAACTCCAACAAGCGAAGCAGGGCTAGGGTTTCATCCAGGAGACGACTTCGTTTGCGAAGGAGCAGAGGAGGAGAGCGAGAAAGAGGGAAGTTTCCAAATGGGCTTCGGTTATGTTACGGTTTCAAACTGGAGATGAAGGCGGTAAAATGAGAAGACGGGAAGGAATAACGATAAGTAATAATAATGGAAATCCAACACTAGATATGTTCCCGTGCTTCCACGTGGCAATCCAACGGCGGAGGTTGGTCAGGGACCCAGTTGAGGATGGTGAAGCTTGTATCTACGATATATATATATATATATATATATGTATTCACTTAGATATACATCAATACACATTCATTCCATCTACAAGTTTGAAGTTGAAGTCATTAAGACATGATCCAAATTAGCATGCCTACCTACTGCTAATCTCTATCCACAGACAACACAAAGATCCTCTGAAATCTCCTGTAATGTCATCGGATGATTGGTTTTAGATTCTGCAGACAGTCATCACAACCATCATCCATTTTGTTTTGATGAGCCAACATGATCAGACAGCTTCTCCAGAAGTCTACAAGTCAAACAAAAAAGTCAACTTGTTGCAAGCATACAACAATCATACTTCTCTTGGCGTTATATGTGATGCCGGGCTTAAGGCAGCAGCCCGAAGAATTGAGGCTTCCAATAAGTTCTGTAAGGATATTTCTGTAGCATTTCTATTCTGGTATTGCACGAGAATGATGAATACGATTAAGACAATCCAAGAAACACATCCATTAACTCGGTAATATTTGCTCACTGAAGCTTATTCTCCAAAGAAAGCAAGTAAAGCATGAGGAGCTAAATGTTCATCCACCAAAGCAAGCAAACAGGTTTGTCTTAGGGAGAACGCCACAGCGAATCAGGCATTCGACTTCACAACCGTGACCGGGCAGGTCGCGTGGACGACGACGTAGTTGCTAACGCTCCCGAGCAGCACTCTGCATCAGTGATCACCGGCTCAGAGATTTGGAGAGGATTAAAGCTTGTAAACGAAGAAGCGAGCAATCTACCTTTTAATGGCTCCTAAGCCCCTGCTCCCGACCACGAGTGAGTCCAGCTTCAGTTCCTCCACTGCATCACAGATCTTCTCCCTCGGATCGCCCCAGTAGATCTTCGAGACCACTTTCACCTGCGGAAGATGAGCCGTGTGTTATAGCTGCAGATCGTTCGACTGGATTTTGCTCGGCTGTTCATGGACCGGAACGAGTAAACAATAATACCCCTTTGGTCTCGGATGCAGTGTGCAGGATATCCAAGACCTCGCCGTCCGGGCTGATCCCATATCGCACCGTCAGGTTCATGTCCTCAAATTCACCAAGAGGAATCAGAGCTGGAGGATGAAACGAGTCAACACAAGGAAGTTTTCGTTCATAGATGTATATGAGAGAGGAGATCGGGGCAGGGGAGAGACGTACGTGATCCATGTTCTTCCCAAAGCTGCTTCTCCGTGTGGTGATCAGACTTGGACAGGACATGGATCAGCACGACATGGTCACCGGCGCAGACGAGGTTGTCGACGGCCCATCGGACTGCCACTTTGCTCGTCGGTGAGTAGTCCATCCCGATCCCCACCGTGCGACTCCCTTCTGCCGCCATCTTCTTCCTTACTTCTCTCAGGGGGGCTTCTCAGCTTTGGAACGAAAGCTTCGGAAGGAAGTCTTGTCACACAGTTCAGCCTCTTGGAGAGGAAAGCCAATCGGAAAGGGTGTAAGAGCATCCAACTGGGAAGCACTACTTTTATATTGAATCAATAATCAAGTGGAAAACAGTCGATATTCATGCTCTCCACTAGTCGAAGAAGACTGGAGGAATACCACATGGTTTTGTGGATGAATCTGTGGGCGCATGCTGGTCTAATCAGCCAATGAACAGAAGGAAACACTGAACCTATTGTCACTCTCGATGTCATATATGAGTTGAAGCATTCAAAGTTTATCCCTTTAACATTCAACCATTATGATTTTTTGTTCTTTCCAGCTATGAGGACACCAATATAGCATGCATTGATATCAGCATGTCCGTTTCTGATCACAGTTGACATGGTTTTCGTGAGTTTTTGTTGCTAGCAATTATTGGTTTAGTGTTATTTCACTAGTTTGGCATAGGAAAAGTCAAAGCTTTACTTTTTCTATTTGCTGAGATTAACTGTACCAACCAAAGTTGTCACCATTGAAATTGAAGCCATTGTTCAGGTGATCTGAATGCAGACTTAGAATGATTCCATGCATCATTTCTCTATGGCTGTGAACAATCCATGTTGGCCAAAAAAAATAGTATAGCTGGACCCACGATGTTTTACATGCATGCCCCAGAATATATATATATATATATATATATATATTTGAGTACCCTCTAAACCATAATCTGCACAAATGATCCATTGCTGAGAAAACAGGCAACAAAAGATTTGAGTTGATAAACATGGACACAACCAAATCAAACATGGAGACTACACGTACAGAAGGCCCATTTCAATCGAGATACAAAGTGATGCAAACTGGGCGATGTCAAACACTTTGGTGTTTCAGGTTATGGTGGCAGAAGGCCTCTGGCACCGAAATGTGCTAATATACAAAAATATATCTTCAGAGCTGAGGATCTGTACTTAGAAGTACGAACTTGCATAATTTTTGCAAACACAAGATATTTGATCTAACTCGTGCAGATTAAACAACACACTGGAGCATACCAGAGAGTTCCACCATCAACAAAGAGGTTGTATTGAGATTCTATTTCCAAGCATATGATACCAGCTGCTGGTACGGCCTGTCCGAATAGATTTGTATGAAGCTTTGATAAGTATCATGTATGTGTCTTCTCAATTATGTAAGTTTCAGTGCTGGACAGAGCATAGGTCCGTCAGGTGAAGATTGTCCATTTTCCTGTGCGTGCATGCAATGTAAGCAATAAGAAGAAATACTTGGAGAGCATGGATTTAGCGGTGGGCTTCTTATCCCCCAGCCATCGCTGCATGTGAACGCCAATGGCATCCAAAGACAGTCCACTCCTGCCATGAAAGCAGACGGCCTTCCCTTCGGTTGTAGTGGAAGTGAAATAGGTGCCAACCTCTACACCGAATGCTCCATACTTCCCCCTGGTGGTGTGAAATGTGAGAGATTTTACGATCTTGAGCCTGTTGCAATGGTTGATGGTGCAGTATATCCACTTATACAATTGAGGATCTCATTGGGATAGTCAAATTTGACCTGCAAAAACCATGGAAAAATCAGTCACTGGCATGAAGTTGTCAGTGTTTATAGCAGTTGTGCAGGAAAGGAGAGCAGAGGTTTAGAGAATCTAGTACCGATGCATACCCTTTTATTACCTGGTGCGAGGTCTCTCCGCTGCTTCCATGTCTTGCAGACCAAACAGACTGACCACTCCTATCGTATTCAATCTGCACAGAGTTTATGGCATCTCCCCTTGTGATATGAACTTGCTTGGTTCCTGAATAAACTCCATCATCCCATGGTTTACCTCCATCACCACCCCAAGGTCCTGGTCCAGATGGGGTTGGTTCTTTGATCAGACCATATGTAACCTGAAAGATTTTGTGTTCATAAAGGGTTAACATGGAGAAACCTATAATTTTTTCTTCAACTGTTTATACTATTTCACTTTCAATAAAATTGAGTTGATTGCTCTCCTAAAAAAAAGAAAGGTGTTCTGATTCCAACTAAAGAAATATTTAGTGGCTACATACTCTGTAAGCAAATTAACCAATTAAGGTGTTAGTCAGAGAGCGTCAGTGACCATGCTTAGATGTAACCATAATGTCACTCCTTACGTATTGTTGCAGATACTATTTGGGCTTTTTATTCCAGGGACTGAATCATCGACTAATAATAATTGACAAGATGGTCAAGAGTAAATACATGCATCAGAGACTGTCATGTGTAACAGGCTGCAAGAAGAAATTGATGTGCACAAGACAAAAATTGTTAGAACAGACAGATTACTTACACCTCAAATGGATCCATATCATCTATCTCATTTCTATAGATGGAGACTTCATGCTTATAGAAATGGATCCATATCAAGCTTTGCAGCATAGCAATCACGCATTAACAGCTGTTAAAAGCATACAAACGGGAGTGACTTCAGCAGAAATAGGTTACCTCTTCTGCAATCTCCTTTGTTGAATCAACTGGTTTTCCAGACCAGCTAGGATAGACATCTTTTTTAGTCATTGGCATGACCATATGTTGATGGCACCTTCCCTTTCAGAGCATGAACACTGACACTGTCAATATACCATCCACTTCTACCATGAAAGCCAATGATCATCCCATCGACCAAGAGGAGAAGAATGTTCCCTGCTCATCCCCGTAGTGTCCGTAATCCCTCTTTGTTGTGTGAGACATGAGGGACTTCACTGCAGTTGGTCCCATGAGCATAGTCATTCCAAAGTAGCCAGTTATATGTGGTAGGAACTCAAATGGAAATTTGAAAGCTATCTGCAGAGAAATATACATATATGTCAGGCTTTACACCCAACATAAGTCATTGCAATAAACTGCATGGTGTTTACCTTGTCAGTTTTGATTCCTCCACTGCCCCCATGCCTGTTTCCCCACACTGCCTGACCATATCTATCATATAGAACCTTTAACAATGTGATACTAACTCTGTGTGTTAAATTGATTTGTCAAACACCTGTGTACACACCATCATCAAATATTGTTCCACCGCTTCCACCCCA